AATAAAACATGTGTCCTTACTTAGAAAAGTGGACATATATTTGCTAATTCATCTTAGAATTGTTAAGGATAGGAATTTTATTCTTCATTCAAAAATAAGCTTTTTTCTCCATAATGCCTCTGCCTTAATCCTGATCAAAATCATGAGAAGCTTCTGGATTCACAAAAGACAAATTAGATTATTTTTGCCAATTAGATGTATATTCTTTCAGGATTGAATCTAGTAGGTGCATCATCTGTGCTACCATGAATTCAGGCATCACTGTCCTACATAATTTTATAATTCATACAGAACTGGTATAGAACATTGGTTTATTAAAACTTGGCTTATCTAGATTGTTTGGAGTTTTGCTTTTGAAAGTGACTTTTTTCTGTAACTGAACATAAAAACGACATAAAAAATGAAAGTCATTTTTAGAAGAGTTCTGAAGCACTTAATTTTTCATTTTGGGTCTCTTTGAAAAGCCTTGAAACCTACAGTCAGCCTGTGCCAGCAAAAATGCAAAAGGAGTGGAACTCTTGAGAGCAATTACTGTTCGAGTAATTTTGGTAAGATCAGATTTCTTCTCCCCAGCCCCAAAAAAGTGACTTAGGATGTATGTTTACAGGAGAGGGTTGGAGCATTTATCTGTAAGCTACCATTAGTGCACAAGGAAATTCTTTCAGTTTATACAACTGTACCTTTTGCACTGAACTCTTATGACTTAGTTACTTAGTTAGACTGTGAATTTTTTGTCAGAACAGTTTTCCAATCTAAACACAAATGACTGAACAGAAGGAGACTGTTGCTGTATGAACGTTTTGATTTAGTGACAACATCAGCATGTTGTCTTCTTGGAAGGCTCTTTGATGTTTTTTTATTCATAGTGATAAATTCATAATGTATACTGCTTTGCTCTTAATTCCTTTCTATCTTGCTATCTGAATATGTTTATTTAATATCATTATAATTAATGATGTCAGATAAAGGTTCATATCCCCTCTTTTTTCAGTATAAATATCATTCCTTTATATCTTAGCACAGCTGACAAATGCAATTTGTATGCCACATATTAAGCCAGCACAAATAAGTTTATTTATCCAATATTCATGGTTAAACATGGATATTTAAGTTGCAGTTATTCTTATTACTAAAGGTGTGTACAATGCAATATTTTGTTTCCATTTATTCTGTAAATAACTTCATTTCAGTTTATTAATTTATTCATACATTCTTTTACGTATTACATTTTCTATTTATGCTTGTTCACTGTTGAATGGTGTAAAAAACTGTTTTATTGTTTTGCAAGATTATTGCAATCTATTCCTCCTAAATTGTCCTTTTTAGTAATAACTGGATCTGTTATCACAACCAACATCAGGAGTGGAAGTTTATATGCAACTGTAGCAATCCTTAATGTATACAAAGAAGGAAATTTAGCAATTCAGCAAGCAGGGAAAAATCTGAGTGCCAAGATTTTTGTTGTCTGTAAACAGTGTCCTGTTATCAGAAGAGGTAAGTAAACTCAAAGTAGAATTCTGAATTTTTCAAATCATATTTGTCCTTATTTTTTCATGTTCATATTTTCCCAGCAATTATATTTAAGTTGCTCATTCACAGAACAAAACAAAAATAAATTATTTAAATTACAATAAAAAGTGAAATGAGTGAGAACATCCAGAAATTTTGCTTATCTTAAAACCTTTTTAGTTTTTATACATATTGTATGTGAATAATATAGGTGAGTTGAAACAGGATGATGGCTTAAGCCATTTTGGCCCTCATAAAAAAAATCTGTAGCTCTGTAAATTAAAAGAGGCATACATTATTAGGAGCATAGGAATATAAATTAAGATTTGAAATTGTATTCTTATACTAGTAATTTTTAAACTATGAACTTGTTCTGTTTTAAATAAAACTAATTAGATGTTAAAATCATTTTGTTAGCTCTCACAATGTTGAAATGACAGTGAAAAGCTAAACATTAAATGAGTACTAAAAACAATATTTGTGTAAATGGGATAAGAATCCCTGCATCAGTAACTGCAAAATTATACAGGGTTGGCTCTACTTGTGAAGCTGGCCTTGCATAGTTTTTCTCACTCAATCCTACAGCAAGGGTCCCAAAACCCCAGACCATGGACTGGTAATGATCCTGTTAGGAACCAGGCCGCACAGCTGGGGGTCAGCAGCGGACAAGCAAGTGAAAGCGAAACCATCCACTCCGGATCCATGTCTTCCACAAAACCAGTCCCTGGTGCTAAAACGATTGGGGACCACTGCTCTATAGAACAGTCCACTCCACTAAGCAGGGTCCCTTTATCTTCTGGGTATCAGTTATAAGAATGTGGGTTACTGGAGGGTTAGGGTTAGGGGCAATAAGAATTCATGCTTTCTCATTCTCCATGGATGAGTTTATCAACAGATATGTCCAACAACATTCCTATTTTTTAGAATAGCATTCTCTAAATAAGCACTACAGCCAACTAGTTATCTGATTAATGGCATAAAACTAAAGAAATGCAACATGAATGTTATACAGATAGTGCTCAACTTACAGCCATTCCTTTAGCAACTGATCAACATTATGACAGTGCTGAAAAAGTGACGCACGATTGATCTTTGCACATATGTCTGTCACAGCATCTCTACAGTCACATGACTTTGATTCAGGCGCTTGGCAACTGGCTCACATTTATGATGGTCACACTATCCTGAGGTCATTTGATTGCCGTTTGCAACCTTTCCAGTTGGCTTCCAACAAACAAAGACTTTCAGATGTTGAAATTCACTTAACAACCATGTGATTTGCATAACAGCTGTAGTGATTTGCTTAACAAGTGTCAAAAAAGTCGTAGAATCAGGCGTGACTCACTTAAGAGCATGGTGCAATGGAAATTCCAATCCCAAGTATGGTCATAACATTTTATCAAATGTTGTTAAATGAAAGATCATAGCAGAAAGCAACTAAGCAATGACTCCTGGAAAATATAGTCAAATTTTAACTGAAAAAATAGACAAGCAGCCATTTTTATAGTGAATAGAACATTTGAGCAATATTTGCATTTGACCAATATTTTCATATTCAGTGGCCAGTTGAGCCACATTATTTAGGGCTGTAAAGCAGAATTTATCATTTCTTCTTCTCAGAATTTATCTTCTCTTTCAATAGGTCTAAACTATGTCATCATGGGCCAGGTAGAAGAAGATGGCAGAGGTAAACTCCTGCCTAGCAGTTTTACTATGAGTTTCAAGACTAAGAACCAAAAAATCCTGAATGCCTTAAAAAACAAAAGGTGCTGATGTAAGACTTTTTGAAGCGATCTGTTATCTTTTTTAAAAAAATCTTCATACAGACAAAATTTGCACTTTCCAAATTGGTATATTTTCTGGATTTTATAGCAATATAATCCTAACTGATTCGTTGATTTGTGTTGCAAGTAATCAAAGAAAAAATGTATTTCAAACCTTTCAACAACTTGAAAGAACTCATTTCTACTATACTGAAACTCTTAATTACACTAGATTATTGATGTTACAAATGCAAAATGTATAATTCATTTTAAATTCAGGTTTTAAGTTTCATTATATTATCAATCATGAAAACATTTTTATTAACTAAAAAACTAACTCTTATGTGCTTTTCAAGCTTATTGCTAATATTTCCTATAGTAGGATTTTGATTAAGAGCCTGCAGTAAAGAAGAAAATCATGTTTGGATCCACTGCATTTACAAGTTGGAAAAGACTAAAAATCCTAAGACATATCACCCAAAGGCCCACAATTATGAGGCAGAAGAACAATATTGTTTTTTATGAATAGAATTTTTCCAAACAGTAGAAAGGATACTTTCATCTTTATACACTGAATCCATATTTTGAACCTGATTGTCATCATATTGCTTTAATTGTTAAATGTGCAGATTTGATTTTTTTTAAAAAATCCACTCTGGCTTTGCATGGCTCAAGATTATAGAATGGCTCTAAACTAAATGTAGAATTATCAGACGATTCTAATTCAAATATACTTTGGACCCTGAACTTCAATAAAATCTCTAATAGGATCAGTACAACTCTGCAGGACACTTATTCTTACAGTTTCTAATACATAAGATTAAGTCAGTTAAAAAGAGCCAGCTTGGCCAATGATAATTTTATTGAGGTTTGACAAAAGATTGACCTATTCATTTTGAATGCTAATTTTATTATGTTAAATTTATAGCTCAAAAATATAACATTAAATGTATAATTCTAATCTCATTATTTTTGAATCTGAATATTTCAAATTCCAAGATGTTTAAACATGAACCGTATTATGTTGGAAAAAGCAAGATCGTAGTCTATCATGATTTGATATTTTGCTATTATTTTTAAATTCTATTCTTGAATTATCTTGCTCACATACAGTAATAGATGCAAATAAAATATATCAATGCCAAAAGCTTTAAATTAAGGCAGATTACTGTCAGTCCCTGTGGAGTTGGCTCCATAATCCAAAATTATCAAATGAAGTTGTGCCATATTGGATTTGCCATATTGTAAAGTATTTTGATTGACTTCTTTTTATTTTGCTTTTTGAGTGATCTATTCCAGTATTGTACTTTTGAAGAATTATTTTGATAAAGAATTTTTTTCTTTATCAGGTTTATTTTATTGTTAAACAGATTTTCTGGGAGTAGAAAACACAATATATTCAGATTATTAGGTCCTGAACAAATTGTTTGTAAAATCTCTTTTAAAAGTAATACAAAGTACCAAAAGAAAACCATGTACTAGGTTCAGTTCATTTATATGATGTTTAAATATATTTCTTGCCATTATTTTTCTGCTAATTGATGAAAGCACATTATTTATGGTTTTGACTGAATGGAAGAAAATGAAAGAAAAAATAGGAAAAAAATAACACCAGAAAACAGCTTTTGGTTTTCTATAATTACACTGTTTCTAAATTATATACCTTTTTATGATATTCATAACAATAAAATGATTTTTCTGAGAATAAAGTTGGATCAGACATTAAGATTAGTATTACTTTTTTTTACCAAATTGCCGATTTATTTCTATACTGTTCAACTGACAAGATAAATGATACAATACAAAATAGTGCACTTAAATAGTGTTTAAATAAAAGTCTTCAATTTCTAATCCAAAAATTCATTTTCTTTTGGGGGATAATAAGTTCAGGTTATTATACAAATGGAATACACAGACAATTCAAAAGAATCAACTTTATAATCATATTACTTTCGATAATTCTGTGGTGCAAAAATAATTTGTATAGGTTGGGGTAGGTATTTAAAAAGCCTCAGAAGAAATATTTTATTTAAATTTCATTCTCTTTATTTCCAATTTTTTAGCAATTACTTAGATGACCAGCACCTGTTAGCCATAGTTTGCAGAATTTAATGGAAATAATCAATTACTATATTTACAAAATAAATAAACATAAACTGGGTATCAATATATACATTAAGACACTCCAACATAAAATATATTTAAAAAATAAGTATGAGACTTAAACAAATGATGACTTCAAAAAGTATTTTTTGCAAAATGGAGCAGGTAATCTGGTTAAATATGGTATGCTTTCAATGAAAACAGTGAAAATATGTTTGTTGCACTTTACTTGGCCCATAATACTAGTAAAATGTTTTACTATAAATATTTTAAGAGGATAAAATATTTCAATATTACTTTTATAATGAAAATTAATTCTTATAGTAACTAATACAGTTAACAGAAGTACCACGCTTCCATCTAATGCTGCTGAATTATCTAAAGCAGTGGTCCCCAACCCCCGGTCCGCGGACCGGTGCCGGGCCGTGGAGTACCTGGCACCGGGCCGCGCAGCGGCCGGGGGACATGAACGCTGCAGCGCAAAGGCTCCTGGGCCGTGCGCAATGGGCCGTGCGCAAAAGCTCCTGGGCCGTGCCCCCACCCCTGCGCGCGCTCAGCGGGCCGCGGCGATAAAAAGGTTGGGGACCACTGATCTAAAGGAGTAAGAATGTTGAAATTTCATTATTTCAAGTATTGCATCTTGGAAATAATGTGATATAAATAGATGCTAGAGATATAGATAAAAATGGCACCTTCAATTATGAAATTTTGTCAGCCATCATTTTACAAAAAAGAAAGAAGAAAGAAAGAAATCATAAAGTCAATTCCAAAGTATTAAATTCTTTGGTATCATTCATCAGTCTTTGAGGATCACAATGTTACAGGGATGGCAATACGGCCTTTCAATATTATTCCAACTCCAAAAGAATTCTTTTAAAATGGTATTATATTAACCTAATTTGACAGTTTTCAGAAATGTAGTTTTTAAAAATATGCTCATAACTGGTCGATGCTTATATTAATTTAGAAAGGTACAATTGTTTAAAACATGTCAAAATTAATTTGTGCCTTCATTTTATACTTGAAAGAGGAAAAAATTAAACATCCCCTTCTCAAAAGTGCAATAGTGTACACATAAATTAGTCAATGTCCATATGATGAGAATATCAAATTTGACATATAACAAAATATTTCCATTTAGCTGACTATACAGTTTACAAATTATATACATCAAAAGCTTCACATTAATTCAAAATCACCAGTTACTGTTTCACAACAGAATCTGGCAACAGTTTTTCCATTGCATTTTAAAAATATATTAATAAAATTACTGCTTTTGAACCAGATTCTCTCCCTACCCAACATACTGCAAATGTAGGTGCCTGAGTGGAATCATTAGAAAAGTTTGAAAATTAGTTTCTTTGATAAAATATAGCATATTTTGATGTCCGAAAACCAAGCAAGTCTCTTATTTCATTTCGGAATTTTGATAAATCTTGTCTGAGTTCATTCAGGTTTTCTACTGTTGCCTGATCAGTACTTTGCATTCTCTGTCTCATGGAAGTCAAGTAACGATGGACTAAACAACACATCACCTTTTGGTAATTTTCATCTCTCTTTTGCTTCAAATTTCTCCACTCCTTTAAATAAATGATGACAAATTAAAAATTGATGTAGCAAATCATTTTTGAATGAAATATCAATCAATTCTTGAGATATTCAAAATATCACAAAGAAATCAAACTCCATCATAACTACAGGCTAATCATCCAAATAACACCTCTCCAAAATGTCACAAATTCCATGAATAAACTACAAGGCACAAATGATGCCCTATAAGACTTGTCAGCAGTTGCATCAAACAAATAACTAAGGTGCAACTTCTGATTTATCATTTAACCATTTCCTCTGGATTAATGACAACTTTTGACTAATTTGGCTGATTTTTAATATCTATAGCAAATAAAGTTTGTATCTCACAAATCATTTTATCCCTATTTATTTATATTTGCAATTAATGCCTGCTTACTGAACTCAGACAATATACGGCTAGAACATGCATATTGTACAATAAGGACCGAAATTCCAAAATTGTACAGAAGCTATCATGCTAGCAACTTTTATTGGTTTGTCTATTTTACCTGCCTGCATGGCATTTGAAAAAAGAACCTGCCCAAAATATTACAACATGTAATTTCTAAAAGTTTGTCAATGACTATCTGCCACCAGTCATAACAACCCAGTGTTAAAGTCCCAGTTTAAAACTGCCCTGCTATGCCTGTGCATGTGCATTTTTATGCCACAACATATGGCCTTATTATGAATAAGACCATATTGAATTTGTAAGTTTGCTCTACTTAAAAGCAATACTATGGATTGTTTGAGTTGATTCAAGAAACCTGACAATTATTTTAGGATGCCAATTGGACTGTGACCTGTACTCGTCCTAATCCAGAACACAGTTTGCTTTACCATGGTTGTTCAACAAATGTTTTTGAATAAACCAAAATTGGTTTCATTTTCATAACAAAACAAAAGCATACTGCCTTTATGACCACATCCACATCTACATGGGTAAATATCTCTACAATATTCCCTAAAGACTTAAATCCTTAATAATAAGATGCCTAGATATAAATTGTTATATAGTCTTTGTTGTTCAGACATAACTGACGCATAAGAATCAGACAATTATCTATGTGTCAATGTATGCATCTACTTACCTATACTAATAAGTATAATTAAAAACTAAGTACATGGAAGTTACTTTACAATCTAGGGTAACAACTGATTAGTAATCTGGCTAGAACTGATGTTTTCCAGTACTTGTTAAAAATATACTTGCCCTAAAAAACAAAAATACCTCTCTTTTGAGATACAGAATTATTCTTCTTTTTCCTTGCCAAAAGTACTATAAATAATTACTATAACTATCACAATCATCCTGTCCCAAAGAATTGGGAGAACAATCAGATCTTAAATAAGTATTCAGTATCGTAAGGATGAGTGTCATATAGATCTCTGTGGAATCATTCCCAAAGAAGACACAATTTGTGAGATGACATTCTTTAATTAACAGAATCCAGAGCATGCCCACCCTGCTGAATTGTATTATATGTGCAGAAACTATTCGGAGACAGGCAATCCCTCAGATTTTTATTTTAATTATCTAGATATAGGCTAGTATGTTTTACAAACTGAACACAAATTGCTAGCAGAAAAAAAAAATGCAGTTTAATATTACATTCATAATAATGAGTGAGACTCGACCACTTGAAAGGCTGCCCAAATTCCATGTAGATAAACTAGATTAAATATTTAGGAGACTTTGATGTAATACATAGAAGTATACTTTGTTTGCTAAGAGAAAACAGTATCTTCATCTGACACCACTACTTCACAAGCTGCACTTCCTCTGGAAGGATATCTCTGTGTAATTCAACAAGTTGTTTTCACCTACAAAACCCTACATGGTACAGGCCTGGATTATTTGCACAACTGCCTTTCACCAGTTAATTCTGCCTATCCATGCACTTTACAGGATAGGCATGCTCCAGGTCTCCTCCTTAAAGTAATGACTTAGGAGGCATGCCTTTTCTGTTGCAGTGTTTTGTTATCTATTCTTTGGAAATATCTCTCTCCTCGTGCCCTTGAAATTTGGATAGTTCTGACCCAGTTAGCCTTTAAGAAAGCCTTAAAATGAGGATTTTCCCTAGGAAATGCACATGGAAAATCCCTAGGGCCAAGACATTATATGAACCCATATATCGTGTGAGATGGAATGTGCAATTAATGAGCTTGGCTATGTTTTGTTTGACGTGTTTGTTTATAAGTTTTGCTTTTTGTTGATGTACGATTCATATTTGCATGACCTTAAATGAAAGAGGTCATTTAATGTACATTGCCCAGAATTATGATTGTTACAAGTTATATAAATCTTCCAAAGTAATGAAGGAACAATAAAAAATAATTGTACATTATTACATAAACAATTCCTTACCTTTAAACTGTTCTGCCGCTTAACTTTGCCTGATGACGTGTGAGAAGAAATCCATTTACTGAGACTATTAAATATGTAGCAGATTGTTTTGGGAGCAGGAATAATATTGAAAGGTGGAGGTTGTGTGCATTTATCATCGAAATAGCTAAGCCAGAGCTTTGCACGAGCAAACTTCCATTCCTTATCCTCATGATTCTAAATTATTTAAAATATATAAAGATGTCAGAAATTTTACTAAATTATGATTAAACACAGCTTTGCATCAAGATATCATGTGCTCCCTCTATGTCGTGTCCCTTTTAATGTGAGTCACACAAAAATAAAGGGTTCAATTACGCACTCATGATCTTGACTTTTTTTTCTCCTCCTCCCACCCAGACAAGATTTAGCTTATGAATTATTAATGAAGACAGATGAGTCCCATCAGTGTTTTCCAGGCATTATAATGTATTCACAAAAAATAGAAAATTCTACATCCTAATCCAGATGACACTATTATTCAGGCTTCAAATTTTGTTATAATGGCAATAAAACAATAAACACTAAAAGTACTTACTGCTATTAGCTGAAAACTTTTATGAAGCATTGCCACTAAAAGCTTGGTAAGAACAATCACAACTACTACATTATATGTGCCAACAATAACAGCACCCACAAAAGACTGCAATTCTTCACCATAATTAAATCTGGTAACAAATATAGCTACATGTGCAAGGGAGAAGATATACCAAAACAGAGCAAAGCAGGTGCCAATAAACCTATGGATAGAAAAAAAAAAAGCTTTGATTAGATAACCCTTGAAAACACATAAGGAAAGAATACATTTGTTGTATTGCTCATGATGTTTAAAATGCAGATTAAAATAAAGATGCTACTCGACTTGAATGTTTAGATCTAAAATTGTATAGGAACCTAGTGTGAGAGGAAGCACACAATAAGTATATAACTGGGTGAAAGTGTGAAAATAGTACTCTATAATATGTGGTTTGATTAATAATTCAGGATAAAAATGAACTTTATATATGTGACTCTAAAATAACTTCATTGCAACTTCATGGTCTAATATGTGAATTGGATTTTAATCTGCATTGGTTTACATATATCAAATTTTATCTCAATATATGTAAACATTTGTAAATATATAGTGAATAATAAATGTCAAAAGGCAGAAATAAATACAAATAGATTAATATAAATCCGTGCAAAATTTTAAAGTTCTGAGTTCAACATAAAAATAAGATGGAACAGATTTATGGGTAAACATATAAACTGGCATGGACACTGTATTTAAGAGACAGCTAATCATATCTGTTTCAAGAATGACTGACTAATCTTTAAATGTATTGCACAGTATAAGTAGAACTGAAAGGAGGTGATAGAGGTTTGGTATTATTTTTCCAGTTGTGAATATGAGAGAAAAAACAATTTGTAAGTTAAATTTTTCAACTCATTATTGAATGCAATTTGACATCAAATACAAAATGTAGCATTATGATTGCTCTATAGGGTATACTATATAATTAAGTAAAATTATTTGCTTAAACAGGATTGTAGTAAAATCTTTCATGAGTCAATTACATGCTCAATAAATGCCATTTTTATATATACTATGGAATCAACTAAAAATTTAAAGTAAGGGGATTAACAATTTTATTATCAAGATGACAACACAATTAGATAGTTTATAGTAATTAGCATATACCACACAAGGTATAGGCAAAGCACCAGCAATATGCACAGAGAGCACTGAAACTTACGAGTGGAATGTGTCATTGCTTTGCTGCTCACAAAAAATCCCAGCACAGTCCTTCTCTTCTTGGACAGTAAATCCTTTATCATAAAGTTGAGTCAACCCAATCGTGAATGAGAACAATACCAAAAGGAACATACCAAGAAATTTCCCAAAATCTTGCAACATCTGCCCCATTGAAATCTGTAAAATACATATTAGTTGAGATTACTTAAACTAACATCAGGTATTGGCAAATTAAAAAAGAGAGAGACAGACAAAATTCCATGAAATTACAAGAGTGTGTTTCTCTAAGAGCGAATGGAATGTTTAATTTCATTTTATTTTGATGAAAAAGTAAAAAAATATCCTAAGTAAATAATTAGTTTAAAATAGTAAATATTCATAATGTAATGTAATATAATATAATATAATATTCTCTAAAATTTAAAATAAGTTTGAGATGAGAAAGTTACCTATTTTTTAAAAGATATACATTTATATTATTGTTTACTTAAAAGTAAATAGCTATTTATTGAGCTTTCTTCCTGCTAGAAGGTAGATACATCTTCATTTTAAGGTAAAGTATCTAGAATAGGGATACAAGAACACTAGAACTTGTAAAACTATGAATTATGTAACTTTAAATCTCAATCCTCCACCCTCTTCCCCTTGAAATCCTGGAAATATTAGGCATAAAACATTTCTATTGTTTCAGAAATAATTTAGTATCACATGTTTGATGGAGTTCATAGCCTTTAACAAACTATTAATAGCAATAGCAATAGCACTTAGACTTATATACTGCTTCACAGTGCTTTACAGCTCTCTGAGTGGTTTAGAGTCAGCATATTGCCCTCAGCAATCTGGATCCTCATTTTACTGACCTTGGAAGAATGGAAGGCTAAGTCAACCCTGAGCCAGTGAGAATCAAACTGCCAAAGTACTGGCAGCTGGCCATCAGCAGAATTAGCCTGCAGTACTGCCTTCTAACCACTGCTGAAATCACTGATTTCACTTAGAAGTATATGTATATAGATAAAATGTGTTTCCAACCTTTCCCCTTTTTAAAACCATTTTCACATAATTAACCATTTCAATTAGAATTATTTAATAGCAATAATTTATTAATGAATATATTTCCAATGTATTTTTGACATTAATATTTCCATGAAGTGATTTACAATGAAACATTCCTAATATATTAATAGCTTTTCAAAATTTATTTAAGGAATATTTATTATTTTGTCAATATCAATGAAAATGGATATATTGCAGTAATATGCCTCACATTTCATTTGATGGGATGTCTTTATAGGCATTTAAAGGTTAAGTTCTATTTCTGTAAAATGGAATATCAGCTACTGCTATATCTGTAGTCATTTCAATATTAGTATCTCATTGAATGGGTTGGGTTTTTTGCCTGTTTGGGTATATTGGAATGCTGACTTTGCTTACGAGACTAATGAAAATGCATGTAATAGCTTTAGCACACAAAGAAATGTTACATGTTGAATCTTTTCAAGGTGAATTCAAATCTGTACTCTTAATGGTTATAAACAATAATAAGGAATTTGCAAGAGAAATTGTGATTAAAAATGGAAGAAATATGAAGAAATAAGTACAGACAACAGAACAATATTTCATAGATATTAGGCATTTATGCACAATTCACATTTATTCACTCATATTTGAGTGTTCATGTATAGAGGAAAAACACAGTGCGCCTTGATTACACTAAGAATATATAAATAAATAATCAATTACTTTATAAATAAATATTACCAATTGAATCATGTGAAATTTAACTCTAATTTTGTTTCTACAGTTTGATTCAATGAAGCAACCACACCTTACCCATACATGCATAAACCTGAATAGCTAGTTCAACAAATGATAGGGAGGGCAACTGTGAATACACTCAATGATTTCAGTAAGTTTAATTACACCAAGAAGGCCTATACTTGAAAAACTAGAGACCTACAGTAAATAATGGTGGTCATATGCTACTATCACATCAATGTTGATAGTCATGTAAAAAGTTACCTGAAGTGGACCCAGGATGGAGCTTGTTGTATACATGAAGAACAGTCGAAGATAACTGAGAACATTAGCAAAAGCAAAGAGTCCTTCAGCCACAAGCGTAGGATGGAAAGCATCCCAATCCTTCCTCTCAGCAAAATCATGGAACTGGAATTTTTAAACAAAACTTATCATTCCTTGAGATATAACTGATGAATATTTCAGCAGTATGTCTCATGAAACATATTTCATTATTTAATAGGTTACTACACCACTACACAACAAAGTGCTTGCTGAAATACGTATGTATGAAATATAGTATGTGTTTACACATACACGGATTACTGTAATCCATCAGTTTATTACTAGGAAATTTGGTGTGCTTTATATTTAAGAAACGAAAGCCAAACTATTGACATGTATTAAATATTTAGGTTATTTCTAATTAATTTTGATAATACAGTATATGCATAATGCCCATAGCTTATAAAAGCTAATATAATAATTCCAGATATATCTTTATTTTATTATTTATTTATTATTCAAATTTCTATACCGCCCTTCTCCTTTCGGACTCAGGGCGGTGAACAGCCAAAATAAAAACATCTATACATAACATTACAGTTAAAAATAAAGTTAAAATAATTTATAAATTTGGCCCGTAATTTAAAACTTGTCAATTTAAAATCAATACTAAAATTTTAAAACTAACCCTAAAATCAAGACAGACCGGCTAACTGGAAAAAATAAGTTTTTAGGGCCCGACGAAAAGTCCGGAGGTCGGAGATCACTCGTATCTCTGGGGGTAGATTGTTCCATAGGGTAGGTGCCACCACAGAGAAGGCTCTCCTCCTGGGGGTCGCCAGCTGGCATTGTCTGGCCGACGGCACCCTGAGGAGGCCCTCTCTAGGGAGCGAACCGGCCGGTGGGAGGCTATTGGTGGCAGAAGGCGGTCCCGTAAGTACCCTGGCCCTAAGCCATGGAGCGCTTTAAAGGTGATCACCAACACCTTGACGCGCACCCGGAAGTCCACCGGAAGCCAATGCAGCTCGCGCAGGAGAGGAGTCACATGGAAGCGCCCCGTCGCTCCCATAATCCCCCGCGCGGCCGCATTCTGCACCAGTTGGAGCCTCCGGGTGTACCCCAAGGGGAGCCCCATGTAGAGAGCATTACAATAGTCCAGACGAGAGGTGACGAGTGCTTGAGTGACCGTGCGTAGGGAGTCCCGGTCCAGAAAGGGGCGCAACTGGCGTATCAGGCGAACCTGACAAAAAGCCCCCCTGGCCACGGCCGTCATATGCCCTTCTAAAGACAGCCGTGCATCCAGGAGGACACCCAAGTTGCGGGCCCTCTCCGTGGGGGCCAATGATTCGCCCCCAATAACCAGCGATGGCGTCAGCTGGCTATACCGGGACGCCGGCAGCCACAGCCACTCGGTCTTGGAAGGGTTGAGTCGAAGCCTGTTTCTCCCCATCCAGACCCGCACGGCCTCCAGGCACTGGGACATCACTTCCAAGGCATCATTGGGATGGTCTGGGGTGGAAATGTACAGCTGAGTATCATCAGCGTACTGATGGAACTCCACCCCAAAACCACAGATGATCTCACCCAGCGGCTTCACATAAATGTTGAACAGGAGGGGCGAGAGGACCGACCCTTGCGGCACCCCACAAACAAGGCGCCTTGGGGTCGACCGCTGCCCCCGTCAACACAGATTGCGACCGGTCAGAGAGATAGGAGAACCACCGCAAAACGGTGCCCCCCACTCCCAGTCCCTCCAGCCGGCGCAACATGATACCATGGTCGATGGTATCAAAAGCCGCTGAAAGGTCTAATAGGACCAGGATAGAGGAATAACCCCTATCCCGGGCCCTCCAGAGATCATCCACCAACGCGACCAATGCCATTTCCGTACTGTACCCAGGTCTGAAGCTGGACTGGAGCGGATCCAGATAGACAGCTTCATCCAGGTACTGGGGAAGCTGTCGCGCCACCACACTCTCAACAACCTTCGCAATAAAGCGAAGGTTGGAGACTGGACGATAGTTAGCCAAAACAGCCGGATCCAGGGATGGCTTCTTGAGGAGAGGCCTCACCACCGCCTCTTTCAAGGCGGCCGGCAGGACACCCTCACTCAAAGAAGCGTTGATAATCCCCTGGAGCCAGCCTTGTGTAACCTCCCGGGAAGCCAGCACCAACCAGGAGGGACACGGGTCCAATAAACATGTGGTCCCGTTCAGCCGTCCCAAGATCCTGTCCACGTCCTCGGGAGCCACGGGATCGAACTCCTCCCAGATAACACTCTCAAGGCCTGCCTCAGTCATCTCGTCTGAACTAACCCAGTCAGCGGCCAAGTCTTCCCGAATCTGAGTTATTTTATCATCCAGATACTGTACAAAATCCTCAGCTCGGCCCTTTGAACAGTATTGTAATGTTCCTGCTATTTCATATTCTATTTTTGGAAATGTATCTTATTCATATATACTGTAGTTATCCCAAAAAGAACTTTAACAAAAAAACAAACAAGAAATACATTTTTAGTTGTTTTTATGTCTCTTTTAGTTTTGTGCTTTGCCCAAGTCAACTGGAGATGAGCAGCCAATAAATTTAAATAATAAACACATAAATGCATAGTAAGTAAAATGTCTACTTTCTGTAGCAGCTTTAATATATATAGACCGAACTCAAAGACCAGACCAGACAATTTTAAGAATGAATGTCCTTAAGACTTCAATTGTTGAAAAATACAACAACTTAATGCTCATGTTAACATTACCTTATTATGGGCAACTACTTTGAGAGCAAAAGTTGCCAAATACAAAGAATTCATGACAAAACTAAGTTGATTTCGTGATTCTTCTAAAAAGTCTTCCAAGCCATCATACCAAAGTCTTTTAACATCTGACCATACCATTCCTTAGAACAGAAAAAGAAAAAGGGTATTCAATCTCAGTATTATCTAGGTATACTTTTAAATAACTGAAAGGTCAATCTAATAAAGAACTATTTATTCCAAGGAATTTTTAGTGAAAAAGCAGATTATAGTATTATAAAATATGATAAAACAATATCAAACCTGAACTATCTAATATACAGTATATTCCAAATAAAAGAATCAGTTACCTTATAAAAATTAATTTTCCACTATAAATATGTTATTATATTTAATAATAAATATTATATAACATTGTTTTAGACATAATTGTTGAGAATATAAGTGAGTTTGTCTCCCCCTCTTGTTATTTTTCAACAACTTTTTTCCCCAACTTTTAAGCCAGTGATTTTTTTTTGGTAATATATTTGTATTGTAGGTAAAACTCAAAAGTTGAAAGCAATACGTTTGCAAAACATGTTAATTTAAATCTGGTACAAACAACTGACAAACTATTTAGCCACAGACAAACAGTAGGTAACACAATAACTTGACAAAAAATTCACATCATCTTGTGATAAGCCTCATTACCACAGCAGCAATTTGTTCACTGTCCTGTTTTTAAAATGCTGAATATTCCTACAAGCCAGAATGTTGATATAATATAAATGTGACGATAAGCTGAGCCATTATATGCAGCCCATTATAAAGCACTCCATAGTGCTGTAATGGGTAGGACAACTTGCTATGGCCAACTTGCTGTGGCCAATTTAGTGCAGTCAATTCACCCCGGGACAACTCGCCACGGCCAACTCGCCATAGGACAATTCATCCTTGGACAATTCAACGTTATATTAATCGTTTTATTCAGCTATTTTTATTATTGGTGACCATGTTTTCATCAAAAGTATTGTAACTCTTGTATTTCTGGATTGACTTTATTTTATTATTATTGGCCACAGTTCCATAGAAATCAATTTAACTTTTGTATTTGTTGAATTGTCCTACAGTGAATTGGCCGTGAGTTGGTTGCAGTGAGTTGTCCCATTCCATGCTGTAGTACCTTAGTTTTGTGGCCTTATTTACTTTTTGGTACATTTACATTTTTTCCAATGTCATAGCGTGATTAAAAAGAAGTAATGTTTAAGGATTACATATCTCTTCACATTTTACCATGCAAAATAGCATTTCTGTAACTGACATCACTTCCTAGTATTGCTCTTTCAGTAGTAGATGTCTAAAGATATTTTTCATCTTAACAGATAACCACAATACATTTTTTTTTACTTCTTTAAGGTTATCAAATGCTTGTAACCACAGCTACATAGAGAAAATTAGCATACCAAAGGCATCAAGCAATTATTATTTCATAGGATTATATCAGTCTTAGGGGACCAAAATATGATTTGCAATTTTATTGATATAAAGAAAATCACACCAAAGGTTGCTACATTTATTTTAAAAAGCAATGAGTGGTGCAAAGTATTAGGAAAAAGCATTTTACAAAGCAGATTAAGGCAAAGAAAATAACTCATCATTTCATGTGACACATGAAAGCAGGCACATCCTTTGGAAAACTTGCATGTCTGTTTCAAAGACTGTTCCCTACTATCTGTGCTACTAGCTACTTTGCTGGAAGTTTCAGCAGAAGCAGTCTCCCATGTACACACAAGCGCACATTTAGAAAGTTCTTCCATAGCTGTTTAATGCTTTGAGGAGGGTGTTAATATACTTTTCAATTATATTAGGTTGATAATATACTTTTCAAAATTCTGCATACTTTACACAGACTTAAAATTCAATGATACTGAGAAATAGTTTATGCTCCACTGCTGGTTCTATTATCATATCAGACTGCTGGTTCTTGAAGGATCAATTAATACATTTACAGACATAGATAAGGCACAAGAATAAAGATACCCCATCTGCATCTATCTAGATTCTGCCTTCCTGCCATTATAACTTTTTATGTGACTGGAAGCACAGATTTTTCTAACTTTGCCATCATGCAAACAGACAGTTCAATTCAATTCAGTTCACTGATATTCAGCCCAGAATTGTTCTTATAAAATTGTATGTTATATTAAAGTATATATCACACAAGGTGGCCATCCAAAATGTATTCATTGACAAAGTCAGAATTTTAACAGTTTCATATTCTTTATACTTACCAATGAGCCACAGTAATAGAAGATAATCTATTCTCTCTAATGCTGGTCCCATTGTATTTTTTTTATCTTCATTGTAGACAAGTGAGTACAAATTAAGTAATAACAAAAATGTAAAATAAGAAGCTCCATGAATGATAAATTTCATAAAAGGAGTATGAATTATTCTGCCTATTTGAGATCTTGGTGCCAATAAATAACAAAAAGATAGTAGAGGCCAAAGGATGCCAACTGTCAAGACTGTCAAAATCTTCTTAAATGTATGCTTGCGGCGATAACCAGCCATTTGTCCAAACCAGACAGTATTGAGAAACTGCTGGCAATTAGATTGAGAAACAAACTGGAATAGAAAAATATTTTACATGAATAAGCACTTTATAAAGAAGCTAATGATTTACATTCTTAGTTTAAAGAATAACAAAATTAGACAGAAATAATTAGCTACATAATAGCACTGGAGGGTAAATTCATTTTAAACATGTAAATTCTATATAATTAAATATAATCAGTTAATTAAACTTCATTGTATGTTTAAAGCAGATACTCAATCTTTCTGATTTTATGTTTGCTAATACTAGAACTGTAAAAAATGTTTGTGTGATGTCCTCAGCCCCAACTGCTGAATTGGTGATGAAGGCTGCATTGTACTATAAGCTCCACCTCTTTTGACCATATTTTTTATGTCACATCACAACATTCATATAGAAAAGGCAAGACCTGCAATGTAACAGTGCAATACTATTTTTGTTGGACTCACTAGCCTGACACACAATAAAATATTTAAAATCTTAACTATTATAGCAACCATATCTCATAATATCCATTACTTTGGGCTGTGCTTTCTCAGAATTATATGTGTGAAACAGATTTCCCATTTTACAAAGCAATGCTCTTTAAACACACACACATAGACAGGCAAAGTACTAGAACCCTGGCAGGTTTATAAACTGGCAACATATGGCTTTTAATCCAACGTAAGAAACAGCAGGATTGTAAAACTAGTTATTCACTTTCAACTAGGAATAATAATAACAACAACAGCAACAGAAACAGCAGCAATAATATGACTGGAATGCTGAACAAGAAATTAAACTTCAAAAATGGTCATGTGAGAAAGAGAAATGTGAAAGTGTTGCTTACCTTGCACCATATTTTATAGAGACAATTAACTTCAACAATTGTAGTACCATTACATTATATAATGCCAGCCAACAGAAACTGGATGAAGTAAAATTCAAAACTTTGTGCCACATCAGATGCATGAGGTAAGAACCAGAGCAGCAAAACCAGTGAATCTACTGAGCCGTGAAAAGGAACTCATACTACTATGGCATGAATTCTCCCTTTCCATTCAGACTCTTGCCCCACAAATCCATTGACTATTGTCTTATAGAGAAAAATATTGTGCTAGGCTGCTAATTTATGTTTATATCAAAGATAGTCACTGACTGCCAACCATAATTAAGACCAGAAATTACATTACTAAGCAAGGCAATTGTTGAGTGGTGCTCAATTTAAAGGCTTTTTTGCCATGGTTGTTAAGTGAATCATGCAGTTATTAAGCAAAGTTGGCTTCCGCCATTGATTTTGATTGTTGGAAGCAGGCTGGGATTGTCACAAATGGTGATCACATAATCCACCACTACAAATACATGCCAGTACCAAAAGCCCAAGTTTTGATCATGTGACTACAGGGATGCTGCAGTGGTCGCAAGTGTGAGGACTGTGATCCTACATCACTTTTTTCAGTGCTTTTTCATAAAACAAACAAAAGATTTTAAGTCAAGGACTTCCTACAGAAATTGAATAGATTGTATTGAATGAATATTACAATTTTTCTAATTATTAGAAGTTGGAAACTTACTAAGACACATATCTGTTTTATCCCATCTATTTGTAACAGGATTCTATATTTAATAAATCAAAACTGACATACTTCCTTTTGGTTATACTTAATGGCAAGCTTTAGGCGACTCAAATTCATTCTCTCTTCTAGTAATCCTCGTTTATCCACATGTTCATCACTTGCAGTATGATTCAATATAACTTCAAGCTCCCGGGAATTCCGTGCCTGAGCAAGCAAATCTTTAGCAAAGGTTTTGCACTGCTGAGCCAGTTCTTCATAATCATTTCTAAGAAATACACAAAGTAACAAAAATTACTTCTAATGCTAATTTAATATAATCCAATACTAATTAGATTTAATCTAATGCTAATACGAACAAAAAAGAAGAATAAAGGTCCTTCCTGAACAAAACTGGATACCAGACTGGAATCAGCTGAAATCAAGATGGTTCAAATAAATTATTTCAGTCATTGAAAAAGGTCAAACTTTTTTAAAAATAAAGATGGTATAGTAGTTAAGGTAATGGACTAGGACCAGGGGATTCAGGTTCAAATCCCTCAGATATGGATGACTTTAGCTATGGGGAAAACTGGAAGAGGGAATGCTATATATCTTGCCACGCATTCATAAATTCATAAGAAATAAATAATTTAAATAATTTAGCTACATTGTCATTAAATATCCTTTATTTCATTTATTAGATTTATGGATGACTTTTATTATATACATTTTAATGCATTTGGGAGTGGAGTTTTATTGTACCCTTTGTTAGAACTGAAGTGGGTTATATATATTGTAAAAACAAATTAATAAAATTAAATAAATGTTAGAGATACAGTAGTGCTGTGTTGATTTTTATTAAATTTGGAAGATTAGTATTTGGATGATACTACCAAGAAATCTCTGAGCTTTAAGCTAATATAAATAATGGCATCAGGAATCAAGCCTGAGTTGAAGAAGACTTTATCTTTTTAAGTCCTCAGTGATGCATATGGATTGTTTGTTCTAAATTTTTTTAAAAATAATTTCATTACCATGCAAAATGGAAATACGTTATCAAAATAGAAAATGAAATATTCATGAATGCAACCTTATATTTTTCTTGGCAATAGTACCAAAGTAATTTGTCTCTGTGACCTTCAAGATATTTCAGTATATGTCTGTAATTTAGCCTCCCTTATTATTCTTCAATAATTTTTTTTTTTAAATTTGATTTATATGCCGCCCTTCTCTGGAGACTCAGGGTGGCTTACAATGCGTTAAGCAATAGCCTTCATACTTTTGTATATTTATACAAAGTCAGCTTATTGCCCCCACAAACTGGGTCCTCAATTTACCTACCTTAGAAAGGATGGAAGGCTGAGCCAACCTTGAGCCTGGTGAGATTCGAACTTACAGTAATTGCAGACAGCTGGTGTTAATCACAATGCTATCAGTCTATTGAGCCACCAGGCCCAATTGATATATAACCAGAATAATTGTGTTTGAACCAAAAAGAAACACAACATAACCCTGTGTAGATTTTGTCCTTAACTAAACATTTGCTATAAATCTTTGAAGTATATGTAGTATCTTCTAAGTTAATTACAAATTAACTTAGCTTAAAACAGTTCATGAAATATTTGTATTTAGTTCTTGTTCCTTAGTAACAACATTCAGGTATATTATCTATTCCTCAATATGTTTGTCTCGGAATAAGAGCTGTAGAATGTGTGACTCATTTCTCAGTAAATATTAATGAGTTTGTGTTGGAAATTTTCTGTTTATAGCATATTTATTTATTTATTTTATTAAATTTTTATACTGCCCTTCTCCCGGAGGATTCAGGGCAGTGTACAGCCAGAGATAAAACCCACAACAATATAAAAGTTAAAAGACAAATTAAAAATATTAAATAATTTGGCTGAAAAAAGCTAAAATAAAGACAACCCATTAAAATAGCATTAGGCCAGCCCTGCTTGGTGAAACAATAGCGTTTTGAGGGCGCAGTGAAAGGTGCGGAGGTTGGGAATCCTACAAATCTCCGGGGGCAGCTCATTCCAGAGGGCAGGTCCCCCCACAGAGAAGGCTCTCCAACCTGGGGGTCGCCAGTCGACATTGTTTGACCGACGGCACCCTGAGGAGTCCCTCTCTGTGGTCTATGGGAGGCTATCGGTGGCAGAAGGCGGTCTCGTAAGTACCCGGGTCCTAAGCCATGGAGCGCTTTAAAGATGGCGACCAACACCTATATATATACAGTATTGTTAGCCAGGCTCACTTGTGATATACCTGCATCTAATAATGTCATGCTGCTGAAATTACAATAATACATATTATCATACCTGAATTCAACTTCTACAAGGCTTAATTCTCTTAAGTCTGCACTAAGTTCAAAGGCTCTCAGAATTGGATCCTCTTCTGTCAACATTATTAAAGCAGGACTAGCCAAACATCGATAAATATCAAGACGAAATCTGCCGTGGCAATGTTAAAGAACACATCTTAAGACAAACAGTTTTTATTTGATTAAACGTATCAACTCATCATTTATATGAAATCTATTTTAGAAATCTGACATATATCATTATCAGTAGGCAAAAGAATTTCCTCCAAAGCACTTGTTGTAAGAAAGTCCTTAATGTATTTAGTTTAAATACAGATAACAAATTTAATTAAAGACTTTATTATAAGATGTACTGCTATCCATTATTGTTCAAAGGACAATTGTGTTAGATTAAGATTCTCCAAACATGCAAACCCATTAATCCTACTCAAAACAACTTTGTCAATTTGGGATATTATTGTAATTTCATGATAATAACCAAAATGTTGTTGGAGGTTCTGAGCAACTAGATGTGGCAAAATATTCCTTGCACAAGAGAGATACTTTCCCTGTCTTGACAATCTGATTTAATTTCAGCTCCTGCTTGGCTCTGGGTGCAATGCCAGTGTCCCTGAAAAAGCAAGTCAATAAAATAGGCCAAAGTTTTGGCCAAAGGGACTTTTATCCTAGCTTCTGTTTTTGTGTCAATTATTGCCTTTTGGGAAGAAAGAAACCTTTGCAATAGTGATTTACTGTATGCCCTTATCACTTATAAAGTAGAATATTGCAATGCTTTCAATTTTGGGCTGCCTTTGGAGACCACCCAGAAGCTACAGTTGGTACAGAATGTAACTCTTTGCCTGCTGCCTGGTGAAAGCCACTACAGTTAAGAAACACTAGTGCTGCATTAGTTGACAATAAATTGCCAACTGCAATTCAAAATGCTGGTTTTGATCTATACTGTAAAACCTTACATGGTTAAGCTTCCAATTGACTTCAGAACTGCCTTCTCCAAATAGAATCTCTTCTGCAATCTATTTGGGAATAGGATATGCACATTTATGGAACAGTTTGCACCCAATATCATATTGGCCTCTAAGTTTTGTGTTTTAGGAAGGCAGTGAAAGCAAGGATTGGTCTGCTATTTTAATCTACATTAATGAATTCTGTTTTATCTGTTTTTATGAATAATATGTTTTAAACAGCCTACATATTAGCAATTTATAATAACATGAAAGAAAAAATAGTTCCTTGTTTACAAAAGTCTCTTTCCAGGATTAGTAGTGATATAGTAGGAAACTGATTTATCACCAGTGAGATCGCTAAACCATTGTGTTCACTACTGTATAATGACCATAAGCAATCATCCAAATATTTTTCCCAATTCTACTCAGATGGCAGGCATTAAACTTAACATTTTTTCATGCAAAGCTATATACTCTATCAATTATTTCCTTGTCATGAGCATTTATTTTATTCTAAAATATAAACTAAACTCCTTTATGATTATTACTTAAAAATGGTGGAAAAACTGCAGATACGGATGAAGATCTAATTATTGTAACCTGGAGTGACGTAAACTATCTTTTTTGTTCTTGGCTGTACACAATGTACATTCACATCCCACAGCATGAGGTTTGGGTAGTGACACATCCTGTTTTAAGAGCATTGTAAGAATTTCATAGTTGTTACGGTGAGCAGCTAAAATGACCGGTGCCACATCCATAGTTGTTGAATATTCTGGATTCTGAATACGTTCCATTAATTTCTGCAACAGACAGACAAAAGTCTGAGAAAATAAATTAAGCTTGATGAATTAGTAATGCAGAGATGAAATCTAAGAGACATCCAATTTGAAACCAAAACATACATTTTAAGGTCTTAAATATTTTTTAATTTCAAAATCACTAAACTGGATGCAATGACTGATAAATGTTAACTAAGTACATTTTGTTCCATGAAGAATTATTTCTTGAAATGAAAAATGCATATATGATTCTAAAGTACATGTGCCATTTCTCTTATTTCTAGGGGTAGGGTAGTAAGAAGTAGAATGAATAAACTCAGTTATGCTTCTTATATGTGCCTTCTTCTTAAGCAGCCAGTTACAGACACACATTTGTACAATAGTTCTTGAAGTGAATAAAATAAAAAATAGACCAATGTGTATGTGATAATTTGAACAGTAACTTCTAGTGATTCTCCCAATTTAAAAAAAATTGTAATAGAAAAAGCCTTGTGGGATGTATTGAAGATAACAATTACACTATTGAATTGACATACTGTAACAGTTCTTATCTTTTTGGTAATGTTTATAAAAACTAGAATTAGAAATATTCCCTTTTATAATGTATATGGGATAGTCCTTGACTTACAACCACAATTGGGCCCAACATTTCTGTCACTAAAACATTTGTGAATATTGCCCCATTTTACGACCTTTCTCGCCACAGTTATTGAATGAATCACTGCAGTTGTTAAGTTAGTAACATAGTTGTTAAATTGACTTCCCCCATGCCTTTGCTTGTTGGAAGGTTGCAAAAGATGATCACATGATCCCAGAACACTGCAACTTTCATAAATTTGATTCACTTGCCAAGTTCTGAATTTTGATCACATGACCATGGGATTGCTGCAATGGTCCTGTGAAAAACAGTCATAAATCACTCTATTCAGTGCCTTTGTAACTTTGAACAGTCACTAAATGTACTGTTGTAAATCAAGGACTACTTGTATATACAAGTCAATGTTTATTTAAGACAACCTTCAATTTGATTATTTATAATTCAAGCAGCAGAATGCCACAATGGTTAAACTAATACTTTTAAAAATTTTATGCTTTATAGTTAATCAGTAAAATAGCTTCAAGTCCACCCTCAGCCATGGAAGCTCACTGCTCAATATAACTCACAGGATTGTTGTTGTGGGGAAAAGTGTGTGGCAGAGTGCTATATATGCCCATGAGTTCCTGTATATACAGCTAATAAATAACCAGAAATAATGAATATATCTGCCCATTTTCAGGTATATAATCAAACACTTTTCAATTGCTCTCTAAAGTTTTCAAGATCAAACTTTTCCCATTATCAAAGATTTGACATCATGAGATGCACTCTCAAACACAGAATTAAAGCAATACTAACAACAATTGTTGGTCTACTGGATCGCTTTGGTCGATGATTAAGTAATATATCAACAGCTCCCACAACTTCTGAATCAATGGCCACCAATAATGCATCTGTAGACTGAAGAAAATTAAAGCACAAATAATATCAAATTTCATACCATGGAAGAAAATATACATTGTTAAATTACAAAATGACAATGTTCTAAGGGCAAGCAAAAAGAATAGAAATTTGAAATTTATACTAATGTTATTAATAGTACCTGACAGCCATAATCCAACAGAAGCTGTAGAATGTCTAGATTCTCATTTTCAATACTTATGGTAACAGCATTTCTCCCAAGTACATCCACACAATTTATGTTCATCTCACCAGAATTATTCTCTTCTAAAAGTTTCTTCACCATGTAATAATCACCTAAACCAATAATATACAAAATCCCCTTTTAGCAATTTAGATTTTAATTTGTAACGACTTTTAAAAAAACACTTATTAAATTCTTCAGCAAGTCAGTCATATGTAAATTTTGATTTAAAAACAAGTATTTCCCAAAAACTACCCTCTTCCCCCCTCTTTAAATATAGGAATAGAGAAGAGCGATCAAAAGCTGAAATTAACTAAATAAAATGACACATTATACTAGGGTTGCTTGACAATTTAATTAACTTTGGCCTTTTTAGCCAAGACCCTTCATCAACCAAGCTAACAAGACTCACATTCCCATAAAAGGGAAGGGAGGAAAAGATGGGAATTTTTTATGCCTTTTGCTATTGTTCTTGCTCATTACAAGGAATGTACATTACTCAGTGGGTCAAAATCTTTTTACGGATCACATTCTGTTTATTCGGACTGAAGTTTCTCATCCTAGGTACGTTCAGGAATAAGGAGCAGCACCCCGGCCTTTTCCGGCGCTGCCCGCTTGGATGCTGGGCGGGATTCATTGATGAAGGCCCGCTCCTAGTTGATAATGCGGGTCTAACGAAAACAGTTTCTTGCGGCAATGAAGGGGAAAGCGAGGGACAGAGGTCTACCTTTGTCGCAAGCCAGCAGGAACAGTTTCTCGTCCAGGGTGGTCTCCTCCTTCACCTGCCGGACGTCCTTCAACGTCAGCAGCTTGTTCGGGGAAGCCGAGGCCGATGGGTCTGCACTCTGGTATAGAGCAGCCATAGCGCCGGCCCCGCAGTAAACGGAGGGTCATCGGAGAGGCCGCTCTGGAAAGCCACCTTCCTCCTCCTCCTCCTCCTCCCCCTCCCTGCCCCCTAGACAGGCAACCCCGCTGGGATACCCGCGACCAAGGCGCGCCTCACGTGCCACCCGAAGGGAGAGCGAACGACGCGCAGCTGTCAAAAGGGAGCGCGAGCGACCGAGAGCTCCGCGCGCGCACGCGCAAAAGGCTTTTTTTGTTCGGGGGGGCTTCTTCCGTTGCTGAAGACCGTTAACGGTCACCCGTTCCGTTGGAGACGCAAGCGGGCTGCTTCTTATGCTGTTGTTTGGCCCGGGCGGCAAAGAGGAGAGCAGCAGGGACCGTGTCAGTCATTTGGGGTTCATTTAATCAAATTCTAAGGGGGGTGGGGGGGGGGAATATAACCTTGGAGCTAAAAGCAGCTCCTATTTTCAATTTGCTTAGAGTTTCCCCTAGGACCCGCGCCCATACTCAAGATGGTCATTAACCAGTTCTCTTTTTCGCGGTCAAGTCTCATCCAACCTTCAACCCTTTATTGATTACTACAGTGTATATGACTTTCAGCAGAGAATTAATGCAGGACTGAATATAGTGGAGTTTATTTTTTTTCCATCCATCCGATGCACCACAGAAATATGGCAAGCAAAAATGTAAAAATCGGTAAAGGTGCTAACCAAGCTGTGCTGGCAAATCTGGAAAAGGACACAGATTTGGTAAACAGATCAGAAGAGATCTATCTACAGTCCAATACCAAAGAAAAGGAGACTTAACAGTGTACGAACTATCATTCAATATCCTTCATTTCTAGTAAAGATCATTCAATGCAGATTAAAACCTTGCATGACAAAATGAGATGCCAGATATTCAAGCTGGCTTTAGAAAAGTATGAGGAATGTGAGATCATTGCTAGTGCACACTAGATAATTGAGAAAACTAAACGAAACAAGTCAATTTATGCTTAATTGCTATTGAAGGGCCGTCAACTGTATTAGTCATGTCAAGTTTTAAAAACCAGTAATTCTAGAACATTTTTCAGAGAAACCTATTCAGGTCAGAAAACCACAATATGGACAGAATATGGCAAACGGACTGCCTCCAGATTGGCCAAGGCATGACTGTATTTTCTCCTTTTATTTATTCAGTTTATATGCTGAATAAACATTAAAAGGAAGTTGGACAGATGAGCATCATTGCAAAACTGGAGGAACAAACATCTCTGACCTGCACTATGAGGATGACACTATTTTGATAGATGACAATGAAAGAATCTGCAAGCTCTAATAATGAAATTCAAAGAGTGTGAGTGAGAACTTCTCTTCTAAGCAAGGTGTCGCAAGAACAAGAGAGAATGGTTTGGGAAGAAGCAAAAGCCAACCAGCATCTTGAGGGTGAGTCAGGATTCCAAGTAACACCCCCAAAGAAAGAAGACTCCGAGGCTAGAAGTTCCTCAAAGTTCCATTTTATTAGAGATGTCATATTCCAAATCTGAAAGCTTCCGGGTCCACCCAAAAGAAAGAAAGTCCCTTTCCCTGCATCCACATGTCCATCACATGGTCCAATCAATCCACCATCCCAACTGGAGATGCCTCCCAGTCAAGCCACTCCAGGTGCAGGTTGAACGTCCTTGACTCCCAGAGAAAAGAATGTTGTTATGGCTAGATATCTCTACAACTCCATGCAATCCCCCCTCCCAATTTCCCACAGCACCAATTGTGGCAGCCCTGAAGATCCAAAGAAAAAGATGGCTTCCAGGGCTGACAGTGAGTGCTACACACCATGTTAAAATGCCATATTTTTGAGATGTAAAAAATCTCTAACCACTGATGACATAATAGTTAGAATGCAGTATTGCAGGCAAACTTTGCCCATAGCCAGGAGTTCAATCCTGACCAATTCAAGGTTGACTCAAACTTCTATCCTTCTGAGGTCAGTAAAATGAGGAGCCAGATTGTTGGGGGCAATATGCTGATTCTAAATTGCTATTTAGTGCTATTGCTAAAAATCAGATCAAGATAAATCATTTCAGAATTTTTTCCATCTTTAACATGTAAGCTGTAAATTCAATTGAAAAACAAACTGAAATATTTTAGGGGGAATAACAATAAAAATGTACAATAACATGGCTGCTTAAGTGTGCACACCCTTAAACTAATGCTTTGTTGTTTTTTCCTTCTTTTTCCCCCCTTCTCTCTCATTTACATCACTCCCAATTCAACAGGTAATTGGTCTTTTCCACAATGTCATTCAGGATGCCATCTGGACCTCAATTCCTTCACCCTAAAAGGCCTTTTTTTTTCATTGGCATTTCCCTACTCTTCTGCTTCTTTACTTTGTAACCACTGTTTCTGCTCCTTCTGTACCAGGCTTTTGTGCAAGATTTTTGGCCATTCATAAAGAAATAGTTACTAGTAGAAAGCAGGAAAGGGGGCAATTGTGTTAGAAAAATTAAAAATAATAAAGCTGCAAATTCAACTTTCCCCAACTTTTTTCCTTGTCTCCCGTTTCTGCCCCCTGCTTCTCCTGTTGCAAATTCTTTTCCCATTTCCCTTGACCCACCTCACTTGCATATGTAAACTAGATCATCCCCAGGATCATACATAACTCAAACATGGCTATGTTTCTGCTTCCAATATAACCTTTTAATCGTTTCATCTAGGAAGCCACAGATATTCCATCTCAGTTAAATATGGAAGCTTCTCAATATTCCATCCTATTAACAATGGAATGCTTAGATAATTTTCTTTACAATAGAAAAATACTTTTTCTTTGTTTAAACATTTATCTCATTTGCTCAAAAATGAGCAAATATTTTTTCACCTCATTTAGATTTTTTGCCCTTTAATTCCAAAACGTATAAACGTCTTTCTATTGTTTAGGGTCCCCATTTCTTGCAAAGCAGGCACCCAGTGATTATTGAATAAAGTTTAGCCATTTCTCTCCCGCTCTGTGCTCCTTTCTTTGGTGAAAATTCCAAAACTACATTTAAGAAGATTAAATTCTTTTGGAAAAATATAATTCTGGGAGTTGAAGTCCACATATCTTCAAGTTCCCAAAGCTGAGAAATACTGAATGGACCTAGAGAAGGGCCCCATTAAGTACACATAGGAGAGGGTGTTCTTCCAGATCGCCAGGTCCTAGATCACTGAGAGCTTTCTAAAACCAGCACTTTAAATTAGGTCCAGATATAAACCAGCAGCATATGGTTTGTATTGGCCAGTCCAGTCTGATATAAGTGTGTTCCTCCGGGTTTAGAACAAGTTACAGATACTGGTGATGATTTTTCCTTCTGTGAATTAGGCTGGCTAACTAGCTTTCCTCAGAGTTGAAAAGTTTTCAATTTTGATCTTATGGCAGGGGTATATGTGAGCTTATATAGCTTTAGATTTTGTAATAGCTATTGGCCAGTAATAGGTATATAAATCCTTCAAACATATTCCTCTAGTATGAAGGATACCTATGCTTGAAGAATCCCAATAAAGATAAAACTGGATGTAGTGCCTCCTACTGCTTAATACAAGTAGTCCTCAACTTATGACCAGGTGATTAACAACTGTTTGAAATTATAAGAGAACAATGCTTTACAGTTCATAAAGCACTTCTAGCCATTGTAAGATGTTTGGCCACCGTACTAATGGTCATGTATTTTGGGTTCTTGGCAATTGGCTAGCGTTTATGACTTGTTCAAAAATAGACTTGATATTTCTTTTATTTGATTTTTAATTTAGTATTCTATTAAAAATGTGTGTTTGTATTCACTCACACAAACACACAAACACACACACTGTAAGTAATACAATATACATACCATTTATTTCTTGCTATCATTAAACATGTTTTAATTAGTTTTATTCTAAACTGCAAACCCTAACAGTTTGATTTTTATAGTATTTTTTGTTTTTTTATAAAATGTACAAGTTGTAATACAGAAGAAACTTTTCTACAGAAAAATCTCCGAAATGGAATCTGTAAGTTCAACAGCACAAGTAAATTTGAACTATCAGTATAATGAATTAAAAAACATTTTAATTCCCAATATTTAATTAGTTGATTAGCAGTACAATCCTGCATCTAATGTATAATGGTTATCCTAATAGTAATAGAAGCATATAAGCACAGCTATGAGAATACACCGAAATTCCTTTTCTATATCAAACTATCTTCACTTTGTCACATCCCTGATTGCTTCATAAAGATAACTAACATACTGCTGTCCTCTCTATAGATTCCTTTTTCTGAGAAATTGAAATACAAAACAGTGTACAATTTAATTAACAAAAGTTACTACTCTGAAGCCATTATAAATGTCTTATTTCATGACCATGCTAATGGAATTTGAGATTGAAACAGAGTATTTTTTCCCTCTTCAGAGCAAATTTTACTGATTCTACCCACACTAGCCTTATCAGTGCTTAAGGTTTATTTACAGTTTGTACCATCTCTCTGTGAAGTTATTTTCCAACAAGCAGTCTAAAGAACAGATACTCACATAACAATTAACGATAATTTACACCTGCAAGCTAATAAAATAAAGTTGCTTTAGTAAGGGAACATTTTCTTTTCAATACCTAATTCATAGTTGAAATACAAGATTTGTTACAGCTTTAAACATTGTCTGTGGAATCCTTGGTGCCATTCGATTGTTTGTTTGTCTTTATCTGACTAGGTAACATCAGCAATGGTAGTGAGTGTGAACTTTGTTCTGTTTATATATAGTAGCTTTGCCACTGGTTTGTTGGTGTTAATCCCTGCTTATCTGGATATCAGCTACTAGAAGGATATTTTCTGATCTTTTTGTTTCCTTAGCTTTTTTATTATCTTTTTTGAATGGTGTAAAAATGTGATTTATCTGTGATAGCTGATTTGTCTGACTTCCAAGCTGACAGCAATTTTCTAGTGTTTTTGAATTTAGATTTGTCTAGGATACCCCACTTCCAAGTTGCAACTATAGCTGAGTCTGTCCATGTATTGTGAGATTAAGAAGTTTCATTGTGTCTTTTGATTGCTAGATTGGTAAAATCTGCTCTGTTTGTCATAAGATCATAAAATCTGCTCTGTTTGTCTCTCCTATGTAATGGTTGTTATGGTCCTTACAGTATATGTTGTAGACTCTCATTTTTTTGTTCTTGGGCTACTGGATCTTTTTATTTACTTAAGATGTTTTGGAGGTCTTTAGTTGGTTAACATGCTGTGATGATGCTATGTGGTTGTTATAGAGCAACGTTTCTCAACCTTGGCAGCTTGACTATGTGTGGTCTCCAATTCCCTTAATTCCCTAGCCAGCATGGCTAGCTGGAGAAATCTGGAAATTGAAGTCCACACATCTTCAAGTTACCAAAGCTGAGAAACACTGTTATAGAGTAATAGGTTTTTCTGAGATGTTTTTGATGTGTGGTAGTTATTTTCATAGCTTGCATGTTCCTTTTTCTGATGTTTTGGTTGCTGCAGTGCTTGTACTCTTCTGAACAATGTTCTTATACAGCAACTAGCGTGGGAGGTTAGGTTATTATTTTAGTAATGGAACACTTGGTTAGTACGGACTGGTTTTTGATAGACTTGTATTTCTAATTTGTTATTATTTCCTCTGCTGATAAGGATATCCAGGAACTACAAAGGATAAAACCACACTTCCACCGACACTGGCAGGATATATATGACACTGTATATAAACAGTGAGCAAAGTCCACACTTAATAGTGCTAATGATGTTACCTATTTAGGTAATGAAACATCTACAAAGAACCAAAGACAAGAGGACCAAGGACTCCACAATTCAACCCTGAGCTACATATATTCTCTTTTATTGAAAACATTGTCTCCTTATTTTATAACCATAGCAAGAGACATTTGCTAGCAACAATTGAAATTTATTTCATCAATCAAAAGTTTTGACTTCACAGTATTTCCTAAAATAGCACTTTACAATTTTGGGAATCTTTGCACTGAGAAAAATCATATACAAGTTAAAAAAAGCTGCTGAACTTAGTAACGTTAATTACAATTATTGCATTATGTTAACCAAGTTAGTTCGCATACCGATGTAATACACATTTCAAGTGATAACTAAAAAAGAAATCATTTTAAATAATCTATCTTTACTTTTCCACATTTATATATATAAACTATCTGCTTTATATGAGTCTGTAAACAATGAGGCATTCAATGCGTTTATCATGGCAAAAAAAGAAAAGAAACTGTTCTTTATTTTATTTTGTTTAATCCTCTTCCCATTAAACATGCAAACACTGTCATGACCATTTTTGGCTTCACTTCTACCAGGTCATCTGGTAAGGCATATATACAAGCACCAATCTTCCGAGCAATAGAAATAGCATACCTTGGAAAGAAAAAGGGAAAAAATATTCGTTTAGCATTATTTGCATTGGAAGTATACCCAATGATGATTCCTTAGTCACTTTTGTCTTGGCTAATGGGACAATAATTTTTCTTCACTCTTTTCTCCAGTCATAATCTCTTGCAATCTATATGCTATATCCCATTCCAGATATTTCCCCAGGACTAACTCTCAGGACTAACTTTTCAAAAGAGCTATGAACAATATAGTTGTATTTTTAAAAAAATATGATTTATAACAAAAGTTGACTGCAGTGCATTCTTTCCACCAAACTACAAATAATTTACAGTCATAAATATGCATTAATATTTTAAACTATTTTTGTCTATTTTCTTTTCAACAGTTATGCAGTATCTAAAACATTGTGTAAAATATTATTAAATATAAATTTCCCAAAATGTTGCAGTTTAAAATGCAATAGAGAAATAAAAAACAGGATATGCTGTAAAAATATGTATTCCTGTAGAAGTTTACTAGAAAGTCTAGAAAGGGTATCAATATTTTGCATTGAATTTCAGCTGGTCCTTTTTGTCTGACTTGGTTGTAACAGAGATTTTAACTTTTAATAAGATTTAAAATGTTTTTTTTTATTATTTAATTGTCTTGAGTGCTATTGGCAAAATATGGGATATAAACCATATAGTTAAATAATGTACACGCTTCAAAATGATTTTTAAAAAGTGTTTCAGTCCTCTTGTGAAGACTGTTAAAGTATGCATATTTATTTTTCAGGTTTCCACATAAATCTGCAAAAATATGTTATTATTATTATTATTATTATTATTATTATTATTATTATTATTATTATTATTATTTATTAGATTTCTATACCGCCCTACTCCCGAAGGACTCAGGGCGGTGCACAGCCAAACAATAAAAACACATACAATACAAAATTTAAAAAATAGAATAAAATCAAATTAAATAATTTTGGCCCCGACAAATTTAAAACCCCAAACTTTTAAAACCAATTTAAAATTGAATATATAAATACTAAAAAATATTTAAAATTTTAAAAATCTTTTATAAAAGAGGGGGAAAATTAGGCCAGGCCGGCCTGGTGAAATAGTAAGGTCTTTAAGGCGCGGCGGAAGGTGCGCAGATCCGGGATCCTCCGTATCTCTGGGGGGAGCTCGTTCCAGATAGTAGGTGCCCCCACAGAGAAGGCTCTCCCCCTGGGGGCCGCCAGTCGGCATTGTTTGGCTGACGGCACCCGGAGGAGCCCCTCTCTATGGGAGCGTACCGGCCGGTGGGAGGCTATTGGTGGTAGTAGGCGGTCCCGCAAGTACCCGGGTCCTAAGCCATGGAGCGCTTTAAAGGTGGTAACCAAAACCTTGAAGCGCACCCGGAAGACCACCGGGAGCCAGTTATTGCTTTAGTGGACTGAGATTAGTGTAGAACATCTTTAATGGGACTCATTACAATTCCAATCCTAACATGGATGTGATTAATTCTGAAAACCATGGATATGATTAATTATAATCTACCCATTAAATATTATTTGATTTATGTCAAAGTCTAAAGTCATGCTGCATGTACTGGTATTCCATTGAGTGGGACTCTATTCTTTGCAGAAGTAAAGAATGTTGCATCGTGTCTAATGCAAATCTTTTTCCAGCCAGGACTATTCATTGATGAAGTAGGATGTTATATGTTTCCCAGCTTTAATACTCTTTGTTAGATGCATGAAATATTCCCAGCTTTGGATTTAATTTGTTTGTGGACTTTAACCAGTTCTCTGTTGTACTTTAGTTTGACATGGCTATTTTTTGACTGGGACATATTGTATTGTTGTCATGTTTTTAACTTTTATTATTAATATATTTTGTTAATATGTTTTAACATATATTAATATATTGTAAGCAGCCTAGATCCTTTTAGAGTGGGCAAGCATAATAAATTTAATTACTATCACTACTATAACTTCAATAATCGTAACAGTTGAAAGATTTAGAATGATTTGTATATTTCTCCCATTTGAAACTTAACAGAGAGAGCTTTAGCCAATATTAATATAACTAACTAACTAACATTATACTTTAAAATGCCATACTTCTATAAACTATGGCACTTTAAAGGGTTGTTCGTTGTTTTCATTTCACAGGATAGTCTTCTGAAATATGCTGCAAGGACTTACTTAGCATTATTTAGCTTGTCTGCTGGTGTTAGATCTTCTCTCTTGACCATTTCTGAGCGGACTGCTTTTGGTGCAATAGCATCTATTAAATCTAATATTGGCAAACTAGTGCTTATAGATTGGTCCTGAAACAAAATACATTAAAGTATTGTTAGTTATAAATAATGATTTTCAGTCATCATAGCTTGTCATCTTTAATTTGGTTTGTCATATCCTTTTCCCTTTTATCCAGTTACTGTCCATGATATATCAAACAAAAGGTCTTCATCATGTTTCATTGGACCTCAAAGATTTTGTTTCCTGAACACTTTTGAGTCTATCTTATAGATTTTTGGCTCCTAATCACAAAAATAACTTGTAATTAACCTACCATGTACCACTTTATAGAAACCTTTTTTTACACAATGGCAATGTACACCCTTCAGTTTCTGTTGGCTATGCTGCATACATGAAACATATAAAAACATGAAAGTGTTGTTGAAGCCAGTATTCCACAAATATCTCTGGAGATCTAAAAGTAGTGGTTTTGCTGCTCGGAATGCAATTTGGTTAAACCAAGTATATCAATGGTATAGGATCTCCTGTTGGAACTGGAGACCTCTAAGATCCCTTCCAACCTTAGAATAACATATGTTCTATGTTCTATGTACTGTTGTTACATACGCAAATAGGACAACTGTGCAAGATATTAGTATTGCGTTAAAAAGAAGTGGCTACTCCATTACTATTTCCTTCTACATGCTTATAAATCTATATAGTACTCTGCTTCTTTCTCAAATCTCTTTATGATTTTGAGATGGTCCCTGGGTAATACATCTTGTTCCTGGGATTCAAAGATGTACTTCTGTCTTAAAATAGCAGGTGGTACTGCTACACTCAGCATCCTTTTAACAGCTCAAGCGGATGAGCATTCTTATCCATGACATCAAGTTATCAGCAGGAGGTGCCCTAGAATGATGTAATTAGCTCTGTGCTTTAAGAGTTTCACCATGCTTTTCTTACCTAGGAGATTAAAGCTATGGTTTCAAGATTGGCTCATCCTTTTTAAGTTCCACCATGAACACAGTATTATCTGAAAGCAGCATTTTACTATTCCCTTTGAGCTACTAAATTGATGTTTCTTAATACACTGATTGGATATATAATTTTAGTTCTAATTATAGATCATGTTGGCCTGTTGTAACTCTGCTGTCCCTATTTTTCTTAAGTATATCTCTGGTATTCCATTGTTAAGATAAAAACTGGCAGTTTCAGAAACTGGATTTCTGAAAAACATTTTGGCTAACTGGTCATAAAACTATTTTTACAGTATTTCTGATGTTGCCGTGATCAGTATGCACTTTAGAATACTGTATTTGTTTAAGGCTGATTGAAGGTGTGGCAAAATTTAATATGTGGATGGAAGTGAAAATTGAACTTGAGAAAACAATATTGTTGAAAATATAGAAAACACAAGGATATGTAAAATTTAGTTGGTAAATAAAGATTTGGGGATATTTTTACAAAGTTGTTGATATAGATCGGTTGTTCTCAAAAAATTATGATGATCAAAATGCTTTTCTCTAAAGAATACTTTTAATAGTTTTATGATGCATAAATTTCCTCTGTACTGTATTTGAGTATGATATTGCAACATAGGTACAAATTTTCACTCTTTGCTAGAAAGTTCTTCCTGTTTTTAATCATCATGTATAATCCTCATTCTTTCCACAAATAATTTTTCATCTAGTTCTACTGAAAAATAGATATAATTATGTTTTATGACAAAGATAGTAATATATATGCCCATATCTAATCTGTTTTTATATTTTTAAAATCTAATATTTTAAGCATTTTTATAAAGTGTTGAATTTCTGTTATAAATTCATTCCCACCCGGATTTTCTCTATGTAATTAATATAATATTCCATTTATTTGATAGTCTTTATTACCTTGAAGCTAGATATTGAAGTCGTCTTATTTGCATTTGCAAGAGTTTGATTCACCCATTTAATGATAGTTTCATCATTTACTTTCTCCCCTTCTCCAAGGTCTGATAGTACATTCAAAGTATATCTGCAATAGACAATATATGTAACTGGTAAGGAACGCTGAAGTTATCCTGAATTTACCAGTATTGTTTTAGATATTCAACAAAATCTACATGAGGCGTGAATAGAATAGAACGAATTTATTGTCACTTTGAATGTATACTAATTGGCATACATTAAAATGAAATCTTGTTGCATACAGCTGTCAAAGGGTCACTACCTCCAATATACACTACATAACCATGACAGAATGAATGAGTGAATGAATGAATGAATACAGAATTATGCATGTACCCACATATATGACACAGAAAAATAACAGAGTCTAGTCTGGATGTATACATGTACATGGCGAGAAAAAACAATGGGGAAACAAAGAAAAAACCTAATTGATAGCGGAGCTGAAGCCAGACAGATGAGTGCTATTTAGACTGATGATAACATGACCACCAGAATTGTGCCGTCAAAAGACCTTGCTAGCAAAGTTAAAAGTACTTAGTTGTAGCCATTGACCACCTGCTAGTTAAGATCTTTGAAGGCTGAATGAACTAACAGGAAGGATAGGCCACGACCAGACTTTGGTTTGCTACCTGGAAAGAAGAACGTTCAAGGAAGAGCTGGAATGGGTTTGACACAGACAGCCAGAGTCAGAATTATAGTGAGAAGTGTGAGAAAGACTGAAATAAAATATTGTGTTGGGAACTGAGTGGAAGGATTGCAGGAACAATGGTGTTGAGAGCTGAAAAGGTAAAAAATGATTGAATGCATACTTAGTAGCAGGCAGGGATCAAAATTATGAGGAACCTTGGAGTGACAAATTGGATAAATGTCATTTAACTAGCATGTTAAATGATGAAAGGTATTCCTCGATTTATGACCATTTGTTTAACATCCATTCAGTTACAACAGTGCTTTAAAAAGTGACTTACAACTGGTCCTTGCACTTATAACTCTTGCAGCATCCCCATGGACTTGTGGGAGATGCTAGCGTGCAGATGCAAATTCAAAGTTGCTTGGAATGATGGAGGATTCCCATACTGATGGGCAGAAGGAAATATGGAGAAAGATGGAAATCAAAGTCTTGTAGCATAAGTGGGACTGGAAATTCACTGTTGCCCTATGATACACCATTTTGCCCAATTGAAGGTTACAAACAATGGAACCAACATGAAAGTTTTAGCAGTATATAGATATATGTATGGCATTCTAGGTTGCAACAGTTTTACAGATTTATAAGTCCTTTATAACATAGCAGACATGCATAGCAATGCATCGCAGATTTACTGTACATTTTGAAAAAGGCATATCATAAAGGATAAAAAAGTGAAAAAAAGTCTAGAGTTATCTGGATTTTAAACTGCTGATTGAATAAGTTAAGAACTCCTATGGAAAAAGTTTGAACCATTTTTGTCTAATGGTTAAGGGCTTAGGATAGAAATCAGGACATTGCGAGTTCTAGTCCTACTTTAGGCATGAAAGCCTTCTGGGGGACTTTGGGCCAATCATGCTTTCTCAGCCCAATCTACCTCATAGATTTTTTTTTATTTATTTTTTTTTGGTGGAGAAAAATAAGAGGAGGAAGGAGTATAGCTATGTTCACCACTTTAAGTTTATAAATATAATTTATAAATATAATAAAGGCCAGATATAAATACAACCTACTTAATTTTTAAAGCCATTGGATTTAGTGAGATGTAAGAAAGCCTCACCTTCTCATTAATTGCCAGACTAGTGCCAAGGTCAAAGTTGGGTTGCCTTCGTTGAGATCTTTTCCACCAATTCCAACCAATGAAAATCTGGCATTTGTCTTTCCCAGTTCTACTGCATAGTTACAATTTTCAATCTAAAATAATTTGATTATAGATACAAATCACAGTTATTATCCAGTGTTTTAAAAAGCAGATATTTTGACCTGAAACTTTTGGAAGGAAAAAAATACCATATAGAATGCACACTTTTACTTTCTTTAATGTATCCAGTTAGAAAAAGTTTTGAGCAAGGTATATTTGGATTTGTCAAATATATTATATGAAGGCCCATAGGGAGACATTAGTATTTAGTTTCTAATTAATTCTTTAGATTAAATTGCTATATTTTGTTATACAATTCTGAGCTCACATTTGCTATGTCTCAAAAATCCAAATGATTTAAATTTACAGTAAAATAGAGGCATGTTTCTGCTGCAAAATGCATAAAGATTATTTCCTTCCCAGAAGTATTCTATTAAAAATAATAAATTTGACATGTGATGTTATTAAGTAAGATGTTCAAAACTGGCTATAAATATGCATGATTGGCAACTGCTCTTTAACTTTCCAATAAGATTTTTAAATGATTATAAAATAATGGAAAAGTTGCCAAAGCTCTGGTTTGCCTGTAGATTTTTTAACAATATATATTTGCACTATGATATGCTAATGCAATAAAGAAAATCATAGCACTGTATATGAACAATATATAAAATACTTTGTTATTGATCAAAGAGTGATTTAAGTTTCTGCTCTTTTTACATCTTATTTATGGCTATGTAGATTATATCCTGAGATCTCTCATCAGCCAGCCACCTGATGGTGTATCACTAAATATGTCTCTACTGTACACTGCTTTTGCTGATATTCATGTTATTAGCGGTGGTGGTAGTCTATTGTTTGTACAGTATGTCAATGCTTCAACATTAGCCAAATAGTAACATGGAAGTTACTTCAGTGCTTAGTTCAAAATTCTGTTACAAATTTCTACTTGGCTTTGTGAATCACAAATAGAACCATAAAAATTCTCAGTGGAGATATTTACATATATGCTACTATCTGTACCCTGTTTGCTTGTAACTGATATAGATGAATAGAAATTAGTGGTGATAATGAAGGCACCAGAGTTCCTAACACAGAAATATTTACAAACCTTTTTCATGTTACCCCCAAGTGCAGGATATGGTGGTTTGTTGACATGACTCCATTCTACAGGTACACGGATCATTTCATAGAGTTGAAAGATTACTAAACCATCACCAAGGTCACTGGCAAGGTGAGGGAGAAAAAAAGTTTCTTCTAATTAAAAGCAAAATAATTATCTTTTAATTAATCAGAAAACAGATATTTTCACTGCTTCTACATTTTCTAAATTTCTCATTTAAATTATTTATTAAAATCATTCACAACTCAGAAGACTATTTTAAAGTATTATGATTGATTGAGGTCAGCCAGATGGTTATACTGGATTTGGCATTTTTATCCACCTATCAAGTCCTTCCAAGGCACATGAGATAGATAGATGTGGATGTTTGATGATATTAGCGGTATTGCATAATGTAAGCTGTTCCAAGTAAAACTGCCTTTTGCAATTGACTGACAATGAATTTGTCAATGATGATGGTGTTCAAGTGGTGCTCCAATTGTTTTGAGTTGCATTTAAGGTGCATATTACTATGCACCTTTGCTTTCTTTTGCCACAGTTGTTCTATTTCTATTTGCAGGTTTTTATATTTTGTTATTTTATCCAGTTCTTTTTCTTCTGTTCTGTTGTCTCCATATATTGCCATGTCCACTATTGATCTTTCTTATCAACAACTAAGTCTGGGATGTTATGTGGCAGGTGTCTGTCGGTTTTAATTCTAAAGTCTCAGACCACTTTAAATTCTTCAATTTCTATTTCTCTATTTTATGGTTCTACCAGTTCTTGCTTGCAGGCAAATGCTATTACTTGCAGATCTTCCTATTATTATTATTATGTACACAACGTGAACTCAGAGCTACCAGTTCTTTAGCTGGTGTTGGCCTTCATACGAAATGAGTTCTTCCCAAGAACCTAAGATGTGATAATATATTGAGCATAGTATAGGTACAGATCCAAGCAGTGTATACATAGTTAAGAGATGGAAATTTTGTCAATGCACAGATTTTCTAAATGCCATCCAAGATTTTTTGGTATGGCATGCAATGTGCCGATAACCAATTAGGCCACCATGGATGATTTATGCCATAATCTTTCAACTTTGATTTTCAGATCTTGATACTTTGTATAATCTGGTATGTTAATTCATCAGTTTGTATTCACCAATTCCACAATATACTGTAACGATAACACATATTGTAATATATTGTTATTTATCACATTTATACAGCACCCCATCTCACACAGAGAGACTTTGGGTGACGTACTATGAAACAAACAAATAAACCTTATTTTAAAACCACTTAACCACTTAAATAATTAAGCATAAAGAAGAACAAGATTTCAAGAAGGTTAAATTCAGAATGTTTATTTTTTATTTTTATTTTATTTTAAATTTATATACCGCCCTTCTCCCTGAGGACTCAGGGCGGTGTACAGCCAGAATTAAAAAAACATGGAATACAAATATTAAAAACAATTAAAATATATATAAATTTGGCCCAAAATTAAAAATACAAACCAATTAAAACATTTAAAATTTCTTCTTAAGCCAGCCCGGCTTGCTGGAAAAAGTGGGTTTTAAGGGCACGGCGGAAGGCGCTAAGGTCTTGGATTCTCCTTATCTCTGGGGGCAACTGATTCCAGAGGGTAGGTGCCCCCACAGAGAAGGCCCTCCCCCTGGGGGTCAGCAGCCTGCATTGATTGGCTGATGGCACCCTGAGGAGGCCCTCTCTGTGGGAGCGCATGGGACGATGGGAGGTCGTTGGTAGCAGCAGGCGGTCTCGAAGATAGCTAGGCCCGATGCCATGGAGCGCTTTAAAGGTGATAACCAGCACCTTGAAGCGCACCCGGAATGTTATACATGTGTGGGCTCCCTGCTACCAGGAGATTGCTTGTCAGCCTCCCAGTACTTCCAGTATGTCTGAGATTGACTGTACTCCCAGTACTGTCTGAGAGAGTGGCCCAGACAGGAAACACAATATGAGTTAATTCTACTTTATTGTAGGGCTATATTAACAGATTCTTGCTAGACTAAAATATAAATCTTTCCATGGGATCTTTTCACTTAATAAGTTGGGTGGATCCTTACTAAATTTCGCTTCCACCCCCTTTTATTTGATTGTTCCCTAGGCTGCATCTGTTCTCATTTCCAATGTCATTGCCTCATACAATTATGTGCCCAGCCCTGATGAAAAAATACATTTGGCACCTTCCTAGATCCTATTGGATGGAAACTCTTAGCCGATGGCATGCACAACATGTATCTCCTGTCAGATCTTAAGTGTGATGACTCCCCTGGACACTTCCCCAAATACCTCTCCAGATGTCAGTTTGGAGGAGGATGAACCAGTTACAGGCACATTTGGAGGGGAGTTGGTCAAGCAGCCATTGGGAGTTGGCTGAGCCACAACTGCAGCAGAACAGCCCTGAGGCTTCAGATGGGGAAAGCACACAGCTGCAGCCAGTTTGATGAGGAAGAAAGAACTGCCTTCTGCACCTGATCCGAGAACACATAGGGCAGAGAAAAGGCAGGAGCAATAAAGGTCAGCCCAATTACTTGGGCAGCCTTGCCCTTCTTGATGGGCTGCACCAGAAGCTGGAAATTTAGCACAGCAGACAAATGGAGGTGATGCTGGGAACAATGTGTTCATTTCCAATGTGCATCCTGGCCGTATATCTTGCCTTGCTTTGGATTGACACCTGCTTTGACTTGGATTGTGCCTTGTGAACCCTCTTGTATTGTGAGTTAATTTTGCTTGGTGGGTTTATCTTTCAGAAACTTTCAAGTGCCTTGTGGACTCGTTGGCCATTGCTCTGTGGACTAGAAACGGTCTGCTTTTGGCTGATTTAATTGGGACAGTTCTGGTTTTTTTGTGAAGGGAATTGTTGGGGAATATTAATAAAATCACTAAACCACTGTTATGTGTGAGTGAGCGGGACAGCACATAATGGGATAAACATATGTAATTGGGGAGAGGCAGTACCTCAAATAATCCTTCCCAATGCCACATAGGGCTTTAAAGATCAAAAACAGGATCTTGAATTGCATCTGAAAGTGAACTACCGTATTTTCCGGTGTATAAGACGACTTTTTAACACATGAAAATCTTCTCAAAAGTCGGGTGTCGTCTTATACTCCGGGTGTCGTTCTCCTGTAACCAGGCGACCAGCCCGAAAGGCTCTGACGAGCTTTAAATGGCTCTGGCGATCCAAGCTCTGACGATCTGCTAATCAGGCAACTCAGCAGGGATCGCAGAAGCCATGGAGAAGGAAAAAACTTTTCTCCTTTCACATGGCTCTGGCGATCCAAGCTCTGCCAATCTGCTAATCAGGTAACTCAGCTGGGATCGCCAGACCCATGGAGAAGGAAAAAACTTTCCCCCCTCCAGCTTGCTTACCTTAGCTGCTAGTCGCAATGCTTGCCTTGCTTCGCTTGCCTGAATCCATTCCATCAGCAAGCAACTCCCTGCCTGCAATCAAGCAGGCAGGGAGTTGTGGACTTCAACTCCCAGAATTCCTCAGCCAGCAAAACAAAGCTGGCTGAGGAATTCTGGGAGTTGAAGTCTACAAGTCTTAAAGTTGTCAAGGTTGGAGAACCCTGTTCTATTGGTAAGTTCTATCCCCTGTTTTGGGGATTTTTAAAAAAAATAGTTAATTGGGGGGTTTTTTAGTTGTTCTTTTTTAGACCTAGCCATTTAAAGTTTAGGAAGTTTTAAATTTAGCTTTCATATAAAAATAAAAATAAAATAAAATAAAATAAAATTTGTGCAACTTTCTAAGATTTAGTGTGTTTTTGTAATGTTTCACTCTAACTACACAAACACACAAAATCTCACAAAGCTGTATGTGGAATTTTGTGTGTGTAAAGTGTGAAAGTTGTTTTTCTCCATTGTGGGTGGAGACAGCAGCCAGGATGGGGTGTGCTCATCTGCCATGCTGATAGACTGAGCCAATCAAAGTTGCCAAGTCCCGCCCCTGTTGCCGGGCAGACCCAGCTTTTGGCTCAGTCTGTCAGCGAAGACAGGCGTGTGGGACTGTTCCTCTAGCAAATTTCTTCTATTCTACTTTATTCTTTCTGAATAACATTCTAATCTGATTGATATTATTGGTTGACTTTGGATTGCTACTGGACTGCACTTGGATCACGATTGAAACTGTAAGCCTGGACGCTCCAGTAACCGGCCTGCCTGGTTATCTGGGGAATCTTCCCTTTCTATTAGTTGGTCTTAGAGGTTTTCTTTACCTTATTTTTTAGCGTCTACCCGCTGTGTTTCTTTATGGTTTGTGGAGCTTCGCGCCCCCGTGGGAGAGACCTCGAGCCTTCATTCGGCTTTTTCTTAGCGACTTAATCCTTGTGGAGCTTCACGCCCCCGTAGAGCTAGATTCCAACCTTGTTTCGGCCTTTTTTTGCTGCTGGCCCCTCTGCGGAGCTTCGCAACCCCTGCGCTTGATTTCTGCGGCCATTTCGCGCGCTTAGCTCAACGGCTGCCCACTCACTAGGCGGTTCTCCTCGCTTTAAAAGGCCGACGAGCGGAGCTTCGCGCCCCCGATAGTGCGCTCTTCTCCTTTCCGCCTTCAAACCGCTCTGCGGTTTAAAGCCGACGAGCGGAGCTTCGCGCCCCCGACAGTGCGCTCTTTACCCTGCGGCCATTTTGCGCGCCTTTACCAACCGCTGACTAAATTTCAGCGACGCCCTCAGCAGTTTAGGCCATACAAGCGGAGCTTCACGCCCCCGATAGTGTCGGCTTCAGCGCCTCTGCCTCAGATCGATAGGCGCTTGGGGGAGTTTTTTCACGCACATCGTTGCGATTTCAGCCCTGCTTGCGATTACGAGCGGCTCTTTACCTGCCTTGCCTGCGTTGCAGTAACGTTCTCCGTTGATTGCCAGTTCGTGGTTTCATCGTTTAGAGAGGGGTCTCGCGCCCCCATCAGCAACAGTGAGCGCCTTCCCTAAACGGGGGACTAGTTAGCGTGGAGATTCGCACTCCCTTACCTGCGCAATTCCTGCAGTGTGCTGGTTCTCTCATTGGTGCAGGTCTGGGCATTCCCTGAATCGGTGGAGTTTTTTCTTGCGCTCCCATTGGCTGAGGCTCGCTGTCTGTGCCCTCGAGGTCTCAGCCTGTG